GAGGAAATTAAAATTCGAATGTCCAGCTAATTGTCTTTAACATCCACGGAAAGAATTTTTTGATGAAGTACTGACAACATGCCACAAGTTCAAGGTTTATCAATTAACGCCAAAGTTGCAAATCAATTGGCCTAAGAATAAAGAGCCTTCACGTCGATATATCTATGTAATATTTAGTCGTCCAATGTCCCTCAAAAATACATTTTGTACTGAAGAATCTTCATTGCCAGCAGATATTTATCCATGCTGACACGAGATATACTAGCAACTTCGAAAAAAATTAGTAATTTTTCTACTAAATGTCCTTTTTTAAATCAAAATTCCCATAAATCCAATAAGGCTATGACATTTTAGGGCAATAAAAGATTAGAATTACACTAGACCTTGCGTTAAAATTTAGAATTATTTTTGGCAAAGAACCATGAAAATGTAATTATAATCTAATCCAGTACAAAGTACATGCCACGAGTTGTGTCTTCATCCATTAATCCCACAGCATACAGTAAAACTAACATTATTTCCAGCATAATCCAGCAAACAGAAAGTGATATATAACGCGCGAGCCGGAATTTTTAACTCGAAATTCATTGCCGTTACACCGATGTCACGTTTACCACGCAATGACGGCATAAAACATTCAAGTCCGCACCTATCGTTATATGCTTACAGAGGATTTCTTTCTCTGAGTTTGATCTTTACGTAGCCACGTAGGCTTGTACATACGATCACTATTGAACAATACTTAAGCCTATGTGTTGTCATGTTATCTTCGTTATCATTAGCATTATCATCATCATCATCAGCTTCATCACCATCATCGTCATCATCATGACTATCGATATTGGCACCATCCAAAGATACACAATTTAATGAGTGGAGATAGCACATCTGATAATATCAGCATTGACGTCATTCGAATTCTAATATGATGTGTTATGACAAATATCAAATTGGCCTACATTTTATGAATAATAATAACATCTGTTTTCATATACAAGTACTATTATTTTTTAATCATATATCAATGGTATACATACATACATACGTATTATATATATATATATAGATGTATATATGTATGTATATACAGTATATGTATATGTATATATATATATATATATATATATAAATTTAATGGGAGTTGTTTGAGTTGGGGTTCAAGCTTTCAATGTTGAGGTTGGTGGTACTTGTAATTTCTCGCTGTGCATTTCGCTCTTGTATTTAAGCAAAACACTTGTACTTACCTACTCAATACGTTAGTCTCTCCCCACCATAAAGGAAAAATAGGTGCCTGGTTTGGATGTTGCATTGAATGTAAGCTTTGTCCAGACAATCAATTTGAATTTACATTCATAAATATGGTCATGATGGCATCACATCATGACCATATACAGGAAAATCATGACTATATATGGGCATACAACAGTTTTTGGTCAAAGAGAATTTGATAATCTGGACATGGAAACTCGAAGCCAGAGTGTAACTGGTAGAGCAAAAACGGTAATTTGAATTAAGTAACTAAACACTTCTTATTTGTATTTTTCTTATCAGGGGTGTTGCTGGAAGATCCAACTCAGCGAGAAGAAGATATAGTTGCCTTAGCGGTCCAACAGATTAACGAGAGTGAAAATTTACTGAAGAACATCGAGTTTTCGTATGACTTAAAGAATCTAAGTTTTGGAAATCCTTATCAAGTTATTCGTGAAGGTAACGTAACGTCTTGATTTAAAAAAAATTCGCTTAAAATATTCTAATCATCATTATTATCATTCTCATCTTGCTAGCTATGTCATTATAAAATATAAATAGTTTTGATAATGACTTGAGTTTTTACAGTGACGTACTTTTTGATCCTTTTAAGACAACATAAGTTTCTAAATAAAAAAAAACCTGGAAAATTCCGAAAGATTAAAGAAAATTCTATATTAGTATCAATATAAAATTTATATTTGTTTATTGGTAATAAGCCGAGTAATTCATTTAAAATTTGCATACTGTATGTAAATTTCTACATGTATTGAATATCGCTTAAATTGGAAACTTATCAAAGTAGATTAATTAGATACAGTAACTATTTTTTTTTCAAAAATTCCTAATCTTTTATTTTAAGGCTAGCTTACAGATTGACACAGATACGCAACTGAAAAGACATTAAAATTACTGGATTCATAGGCCTGTATTTCTAGAATTGGACCATAAATCAATGATATTTAGAAAGAAACAGTGAACATCATAACGTGTCCAATTCACAAGCCACAAAAAGTCCAACTCACAACAGTCTCATGACTTTGATTCGATTTATTTAATATGCTCTTTAAAAAATACAACAGAAACAAATGCACATGAACAGAAGTCCATTCATGAAGTCCATTTCACTTCAAGTCACTCAATTAACAATTTCAACCCACAAGTCTGAATCACAAACAATACTCCAGCTCACTGCACAATTCACAAAAAGTCCAACTCACAACAGAGTCTCATAACGTCTATTGCACTTCAAGTTATTCAATTAGCCCAACTAACAAGTCTGAATCATTCAACTCACTGCAAGTGCAACTCACATCAAGTCCACCTTACAATACGCCAGAACTAAGGACAGGATTAACTTCAACTTAGAGCAAGTCCATATCATTCCAATATTTTTCATTGCGGAATGACGAGTCACTTCTTGTTGAACGAGAATAAATTTTATTTTATTTAACAAAAAAAAATCCTCATCAAACTGGTTTAAAGGAATGGAGATGTAAATAAGTGGGTCTGAATACATAATATTCTCGCTGAATATTATAATTGATAATATGAACACAATTTGCAATGAACGACACAAATGTTCAGTGAACTTATTGTACAGTGTAAGTATCAGCATGTTGTCAAAGACGCTGTGCAGTTCTTGAAGACGGACAGATCATCTAGCCAAAGCATACTACAAAAAAAATCACCTTATCAAAAAATTAATGGCACTAAGATAATGCTTTTCTAAAGTAGCTTTATTGAAAAAATAAATACAATTTGCTGACATCAATGCTATGAGTCCTAGTTCAGACATTTGAATAAATTATCGTTTCACTTGTACGTTATTGGAAGTTCTTTAACGATCCATCATGCTGAACTGGAAGTTCGTTTACTCACTCGCCGCTACATGTTGCCTCAGATCATGAGAGATAAAAACCCAGAAGCCAGGAGCAACGATGAAGCCCCTGTAGCTACAAATTAGAATACATGGCCGCTAGCTAGGTTATCTAAACACGATTTTCCCTGATTACCTGTCGCTAATAGACTCCATAATACATTTCATCAATTTTTGTATTTTCTTTCGGGATTGAGCTAATGTTTTCCGATCTACAATGCCATCAATTGGTTAATATGATATGTGGATGCTTCATTTACGGTTGTTGTTAAAATAAAATGGCAATTTTCTTTAAGATTATTGTATAAGCTATAGGATCAAAGGAGTTTTTTTTTAACTTGGCCTGTAATGATTGTTGATAAATTTTAAAAAGTCTTAATGAGAATGTAAAGATTATTGTAAAAAAAAAAATCTTTTTTTTTTTAAATAAAAAATTGCTGTCATATTTTGTAATTTATGGTTCCTATTAAAATTGTTTTTTTTTTAATGTAAAATTTTAAAATTTAAGCAATAATTTTAAATAATGTATCCTATGAGACGATAATTTTTCAAAAATTATTATATTTCGTATCCAATTTTTTATGTTATTTCCTTGACATATTAAATACATTGCTTCCTATGTACTGGTATACAACAATATACATTATTTAGCATACCCACGTAGAAATCTAGGCCTAACTAACAACTAATTACACATAGCACATAGTAAAAAATATATTAAACGAACTTAGAGCATGTGTTCGGTTTTGACAATTCGGAGTTAAAATAGAATTTATCCAGTAGAATAATGGTGCCTTAGAAGTTCCAGATATAACAATAAACTAATTAAACTAATTGGTTTTGACGGCAGTAGGAGCTTTCTATTGCACGACGACGGTAGGAACAAAACGTAATGACGTCACTATGGCCTAGTTCAGACTGTGGATAAACCCGGCTCAACTCACCGGGTTTATCCACTTGCCAGTCAGAACTAGGTGGCTTATCTCAAGCCGGGCTGTGTTCCTATATTAACTAGGCCTGGCGTGCCACCGTGTTGAACTTTTCTAAGCCAGGCTTTAATCGTTGCGGGGGTTTTGCGTTGACTTTAAGTAAAAAAATGACCAATCAGCATTCAATTACGTGTTCTGTGAGCGTGAGTACGTTTCGAGCGCAATGTTTCGAAACCCGTTTCCTGGTTACGGTTCATTAATATGGAAATACTCGCGCCTGGCTAATCCCGCTAGTCTGAACGCCCGGCAAAGTTAAGCCGGGCTCAACGTAAGCCTGGCTTATCTCCAAGTCTGAACGTAGCCTAAGTCATCTGCGCATGCGAGAACGTTCAGTTCTCGTTATCGTCTGGATTCTAGTGTGATCCGCAGGAGGTTTTGGTAAAAATGACTAAAGGAATGTACCGGTACCTCTTTAAAATTAAGATACGTGTTGTATCAACGATTATCTGTTGTTACTATGTATCACTTGAAAACTCTTAATCCTTTAATGCCGCTCAATGTAATAGAAAACGCGTTTCATCAACAAGTATTTCGTAAAGTAGATGTCGCGTGCATATTATTAGTAATTAGGCCTGTATGTTACATCGCATTCAAACTCCCGTTTGTGTTGTATCAATAAGTTAACGTGTACAGAGTAACATGTCCTTCTGAAGCCGGTGTTCTTTGAGCACTTTTGCAAACTCTTCCATTAGGTTACAGTAGGCTCACTAACAAAGTATTTCATTTTCGATCTTGTCTGCCATGTCGAGTTATATAGGTATGTGTATAATATAATATAATATAATATAATATAATATAATATAATATAATATAATATAATATAATATAATATAATAATATAATATATATTATAGTATATGTATATATAACAGTTACTGGGTTATCTCTTTATTGTATGTTAATCTAGCTAGAAATTCTATAGCTTTTCACGATACCGTCATGTTGCTTAAATTGCTTAAGATAAGATCGTATTATATTGATATCTGATAAGCGAATTATGTCGTTCCACGCATGTACAAAAGAGTAGGACGTTTGTTGCTCCTGCATATACGAGACGGCCCCGGGTTAAAATCCCGGTTGTGACAAACCGCACAGAAAACAATAATTTATACAATTTTAAAAAGTAGTTAAAAGGCATGTTAAAATATCAAAACAGTAAGAGAAGAACTACACGAATACTCTTACTGCATCGTTAATGCATGGTAACTCATGCTACGCTTTTTATGTGGCCATAATTATATTTATTATGGGTGGTGTTTCATCTAATTTCTTAAAATATATACTTAAGGAACAACTGGTAGCAGAAGAATAAAAAGAGCCGTCACAAAATGTGGGAAGGTTTTAAAAATATAATAAAAAATACATCTTTCGGTAACTCAGCTACACAGTATCATATTAAAAAGATACACATTAAGAAAGGTATGCATACATATTATGGTTGTTCATAGCACTGTCTGTGACACAAGTCTAGTTGCAGACTAGTCCACCAGGTAGGATAGCATGATCCTTGCTGCTGTTCAGTGGCATAAATATACAATTGTAACTCATGCTGCATCGGTAACTCTTATTACTGGTAACTCATAGGGTTTTCAATGGGCCATTATTTTATGGTGGATAATGTTTCATCCAATTTCTTATTGTTTATACTTAGGAACAACTAGTAGTAAAATAATAATAAGAACAATCACAAAAAGTGGACAGGATTTGAAAATACATTAAAAAATTTGTCTCTCGGTACCTCTTGCTACGCATACACATTCAGTGCACCATTAGTCTCTCACTGAAAATATACATGAAGGGAGATATTCATATATGGTTGTTAATCCTATAAGATCATATCCCGTAGATATAAGATGTATCCAAATTAAAAGGAAAATAGTCATGCATGAAAGATAGAGTCAATTGGTAAAGTCATTAATGATTATGACAATTCAAATGATACTACTAATGAATAAAATCTTTTTTATTAAAAGAAAATATATTAATCGAGCCAAATGGCCGAGCGGTTAAAGCAGGGGCTTCGTGATCATAGCAAACAATATCGGCACGGGTTCGCGGCCGGCTCGCTCCTATAGTTCTGGTGGTTGAACAAGTCTTCTCGGATAAGGACTCTAAACCCTAGGCCCAGTGTACACAAATGCTCATGTGCACTTTAAAGAACCCAGTACATCTTTCGAGATAAGTAGGGGGTAACTCCGGTGTACTGGTCCATTCGGCCCCTGTCGTGGACAGATGAAAGTGCGCCGGTTTACTGGCTGCTGAAGACATGAAGTGACCCTTAGGGGAGGAGAAGGTTATTGTAAAGTGCAACATTGTAGGAGCGGTTGGCGCACCGGTTGTGGCTTGGACTCCCAACCTTGAGGTCGGGGGTTCGGAACTCCGGCTGTGCAAATCGCTTGTGTCCTTGGGCAAGGCACTTTATCTACGGTTGCCTCTCTCCACCCAGGAGTACAAGTGGGTACCTGGTAGGTTCCAACACAACCTGCGCTGATTACTAGCTGCAATATTATGGAATGATAATATAATTTCATTTACTAATTTAATTTTGTGTTCAATGTGTTCCATGTGTTTGATCCAATGAACGGGGTAGT